CATTCGAGTCATACGGCCGCTTTTTGCCCTGTAAATTAAATACCCAATGACTAAGCCAGGCTGGTATTTTCGAGTATCCGCGTATCGAGTTGTTGTAAACTTTATACAGTAAAGTTATTATTCGTTTTATATTTTCAGTTTTCATTATTTTGTGCAGGCCGGTATTGTTTCTTTAAGTCGTAATCATGTAATTTTGATTCAAAGGACATATATAAATAAAGAGGGTCATGCAGGGATCGTGATGACTTACCCCAGAAGCGGTTGTTTAATCCATGATCAATGTTTATTCGTTGAGCGGGCCGGGGCGAGTTAGAATATAAAATGAATTATTAGAGATCTACTTAAAGAAGCAAAATGAAGTGTTCTTCATCGACTATGTTAGGATGCATCTAATGTATTAACCCCAAAGCAGTCAAATCGTTAATGAAAAAAAAAAAATATATATATATATATATATATTTGTACCCTAAGAGATATATTAAGCATCGTGAGGGAATTAATGGAGATATTTCCTTTATTTACTGACTTATTTAGAACGTTTGACCGTATTAAAGCTATACTTCATTACAAAAGTCAGACAGTTACGAATGCCGAGTACATTGCTTCGAAGATTAAAAGCTGCTAACAACGAAAATAGGTCAAAGCACTTTTTAGCGAAAATGATTTTCAGTGACATTTATAGGCAATTGATGCTAACTGAGTGATATTAATGTATTTTATACCTAAGACTACTTTAAAGTAGACACTGAATAGAAGGACATTTGACTACTTGTCTCGCTACGTTTGACTGCCACAGAGGAGTGTGTTGCAACTGACATTTAGGTTTACGCCAGAGTTAGAGATGTGTTTCATCTAGCAAAATGATCTTAAAGCGATCATTCACTAAAAAATACAAACATTAATTTCACGAAACGATTATATATCATTCGTGTTATTTATAAATAGAGTATCGAGTATAAACACTGCTCATTCAGCAAATTCCTCTTCATAATGCCTTTTAAATAGATAACCGATTAAAAGAAAGTTGTAGCACGCAGCCAAGAAAAAAAATTACATGTAGATTGATCAGAGAAAGACGGCAAAAACCTAGTGCAAATAATTATTGTCACCAATGTAGACCGTCAGGCGTTAATTAATGTATATAATTGTCGTTTATGTCACATTTCGTGCATGTATGTCATGAAGTAGACAAGGAGCAGCATGGGAGAGAAAAATAAAGAGAGCACATGGTCGACTTGTTGTGTGCTTCTTTCTGAACTAGTTTCACTTCTCCAGCTAGTTAAACCCCTCTAATTTATGTGCTAAGAGGACACGACAATAATCGCTTGCACTTTGATGTAAATTCTCCATCTGTGGTTCGAAATATTGGCTTAAGCCCGAATCAAACGGCGCATAACAGTCGATGATAGTTAATGATAGCTGTAGCACGCGCTTCTGTTTGACCACCTCCAACTATCATGAACCATCATTCACTTTGAGCTTATTCAAAATTCTTCATGATAGTCGATGATAGCTTTTCCAAAATTTAGTTTTATAGTTGAATTTTCGGCTGCTGCCACTATACGTTTGACTTTATTTGGTACAATTTTCTCTTAAAGAAAAAATTAAGGGTTTTTTTAGCAGGTGGTATTATTGCTAGGGTAATTTTATCGTGTCACGAAAATGATACCAACTTGTTCACCTATGATTAGGAAGTTTTTTGACACCATGATTGTAAGATTAACTGAGAAGAAGTGGTAATAAAGACACATCAAAATCTGCGTCTTAGAAAGTGCTGGAAACTGTTTTGAGCCACCTTAAGTCATTTCTTAAAAAGTTCT